ATCAATATATCATATTTAGACGTTTTATTGTTCGCTTCTGTGTTGCTATTTATTCTAGTCTGCCTGTTTCCTGAAGAAAAAAATCCGATCTGATGTAATGAATAAAACCTTTTTTTTTTTTGATTACCCGAAGTTTATTGGTGTTCTTCTTGTATAATTCAAATGATAAATTATATAACTAAACAAATTAATAATTAATTAGGTGAAGCTGTGCGCTTGAATTTGTCATTGCATCATCTTATGCAATGTGGAGAATTAGGCCTATTATTGCTAATTATTGTCTATAGGCTATTTTAGTAATTTAAATAACAGGTTATCGTAATATATTGATTAATGACATTGTATTATAATAGCCTATTACACCACCCAAATATGTATTTACTTCCTTCTAATTCTCGTTGTCAGTGCAGGCTTGTTTAGCTTAATATTGACTGTTATGAAAAGTGACTAGTGTAGCCTGCATAAAAAAGCCTTGAACATAAAACAACAGGACAAAAATATAGTTGATGACTAGACAATCATTTCATGACTCTAGGCACTTCTTTGTGAAGACAGTAGCATAATACAGTGAAATAATATGTTCTTTAGCCATTCAAAAACAGCTGTCATGTGCGTGGGTAAATTTTACCCGCTGGCGCTTTTAGGTATACAGCGACCCCTGACAGGTTCTAGTGTTAAAGCAAATTGAATGCCCGTGTATACTCGGATTCAAATAATCATGATTGATGCACCCTCTGTTCAAAATTAGTTTAGTCCCTAATTTTGTTCCTGTGTCTCATTACGTTTGTCCTGCAGAAACTGTCCCCCTGGGTTGGCCTGAGGAAGATCAACGTGTCATACTGGGGCTGGGAGGACATGTCTTCATTCACTAACACCTCTCTGCAGTGGCTACCCAGTGAGCCCAATGATTCAGGCTTCTGTGCTTACCTGGAGAGAGCTCAGGTCTCTGGCCTCAGGGCGAATCCCTGCACCGCCAACACAGATGGCCTCATCTGTGAGAAACCAGTTGGTGAGTCTCTGATTCATTCTTCTATTCCCATTTATTCTTAAAGAAAGCCTGGAAATAAGCCAATAAGAAACATAACCATTCCCTTTTCAGTAACTTCATCCATATTTCCTCCCTCGCAGTGAGCCCGAACCAGAACGCCCGCCCGTGTAAGACGCCCTGCTCCCTGCGCACCACTTGTGAGAACTGCACCAGCCAGGCCATGGAGTGCATGTGGTGTGGAAGCACCAAACGCTGCGTGGACTCCAATGCCTACGTCATCTCCTTTCCCTATGGCCAGTGTCTGGAGTGGCAGACAGGAGACTGCATGTGTGAGTGTCCTCATTTACATATAGTGGCCATCATTGCTTATAAGCTGCCCCAGAGAGAATCTGTGGTCTTTTTTCCAGTTTCAGCACTGATTTTGAGGGGGAAAAAAGGAAGTGAATGTGTAACACAGTAAAATGTGTTAAACGGAACTGAGAGTACCGCACTATTATTGGTAGCATTATCATATTATATGAAATATTTACTAAATTGAAGTGGTGGAGAATGTGTAGAACTTGGTAACTTTGTACTGTTCAGAGACTTGATGTCTGAACGTTTATTTTTTATTTTTTAAAGAAATTAATACATTTACTCAGCAAGGATGCAATAAATTGAGCAAGGGTGACAGTAAAAACATTTATAATGTTACAAAAGATTTCTATTTCAAATAAAAGCCATTCTTTTGACCTTTTTTATTCATTAAAGGGTCCTGAAAAAAAAAGTGAAAAAGGAGTTTTCAGAAACATATTAGGCACCACAACTGTTTTCAACAGTAAAACATGTTTCTTGAGCACCGAATCTGCAAAATAAAATGGTTTCTGAAAGGTCATGTGACACTAAAGACTGGAGTAATGGCTGCTGAAAAATTCAGTTTGGTCATCACATGAATAAATGTAATTTAAAATGTATTACAATAGAACGCTTATTTTAAATTGTAATAATATTTCACAATTTTGCTGTTTTACTGTATTTTTATGCAAATTAATGCAGCCTTGGTGACAACAAGAGAGTTCTTTCAAAAACATTAAAAAAGTCTTACTGACCCCAAACATTTTAAGTTTCGGTAGTGTATATTTATGAATATTTACAGGTGCATCTCAATAAATTAGAATGTCATGGAAAAGTTCATTTATTTCAGTAATTCAACTCAAATTGTGAAACTCGTGTATTAAATAAATTCAATGCACACAGACTGAAGTAGTTTAAGTCTTTGGTTCTTTTAATTGTGATGATTTTGGCTCAAATTTTTTTAAATGATTCATTGCTATTTTTCTTTATAGGAATACTTTTGGACTTGGAAATGATTGTACATATAGTGGTGAGACATTTTGTTCATTGAAATGAAACCTTGAATAACGAGATGTTTTCTCTGTGTAGCCTTTCAGAGAAAGATACAACCAATCAGTGCCTGTCAGCGGCCTGGGTGGTGTGGGTTCTTCATCTCTATCAGATCTGTTGTTTCATCCCATTAGCTGAACTGCTTGGCCTCTGATCCGCCTGTAATGTGCAATTAGTGTTCCAATTTGTCTGCCTAAGCATTCGCTCTTCAAGAATGGGTTCTTATGGCACACGTCGGAACGCTAAGTGATAAAAACTTAGCTAATTTGACTGAGAAAACTACATAATTTGGCATAAACGTTCCTCAGGGAATATAAATAAGAGGACTTGACATCCCTCAAATACCTTAATGTTCCTGATTTTTCACTTTGCTTGGTGTGTAGTTCACATTTACATTCGGCGTGTTTGAAATGCAACTTGTTTGCTGACTATTTATTTGTTACACAGCTGTGTGCATATCCTGTGTTATGCCATCTTTGTCCTCCAGACTAAAGGCTTCCAAGTGCTCATAATGTCTTATTTCACACTATCAGACAGTGAGGTAAGCATACAGGGGACACACGGACACTCTCCGACTGTAGTCTGTTTTTATGACAGGCCTATACTTACTGATAGAACTTCCATTATGCTCAGTCTGATGGAAAATGAATTGAAAGCTCTCCACCAGAAGGAGGTGGTACGATTCTACACATCTGTCTGGCTCAGGAATCCTTTTTGTCGACAAAATGTATCTTTCTGTCCGAGTGATGGTTACTTAACGTTTCAACTGCTCCACCATAAGCCTCGTCCTGTGTCGGTACCATTTTAAAGATCTATTTCTGCTTCTGCTAGGTTTTTTTTCCTCCCCTCTGTTTTTCTTCTTTTTCTCTTAAGGGGCTTTGTCTCTGTCGGAGCATGGCTGGATGAGTTTGATTCACACTTGTGAAGGTGTGCGTTTTTTTTTTAGGTGGCAGTGATTTGTACTGGCATGTGGGGAGCTTGTGTGTGTCGACGACCCTCATATTGTAACAGTCTGATAAATTCAATCTTAAATCTGGCGGCTGATTTATGTCTGTGAACACGTGGGCCTTCACTATTTTGAATCAGAAGAAATTTATTTTTATTCCCAGAGTTGTCTCATCTGTTTTCCATGCCTAACCCGTCTAGACATCTCCTCACCCCTAAACAAATGATTTTTATTGCATGCCGAATCAAATCATATGGTGCTGTTGAGAATCTGTCAGCTCCTGCAGCTGAGAATCCATGGACTCCTGCCAGCATAATGACTAACATTGTGCTTTTTCACTGTTATTGCTGCCATCATGTTGACCCTGAATACACTTTGTCTGTAAAGCTTATTGTTGTGAGGACTGAGATCCTAAGAGATGTGATTTGGCTGCCGGAGAGGTGGATCAAACTGAAAGAGGCTGACGCATATGGCTCTGATATGCTTTTTGGGAGAGTGGACTTTCTGGTGGTATTTGAGAGCATATTACTCAGTCAGTGGAGTGATATGCCCCATGAGAGCTTGAAAGTATAATTTTAAGCGTGTCTTTGTTGTTTCTCATTGTTTATTTCTCAGAATCTGCTGGCTTTTGTCTCTTCTGCCTATCATCTCTCTCTTTTCTGTCGTTGCAGCTCAGAACTGCTCTGGTTTGCGTACATGCGGTCTGTGTCTGGAGCAGCCTGACTGCGGCTGGTGTGGGGACCCTAGTAACACCGGCCGAGGGCAGTGCATGGAGGGTTCATATCGCGGGCCCATGAAGAGCCCCTCCAGACACCGTCAAGACATGGTGCTGGAGACGGGACTCTGCCCAAAAGAACGGGGCTTTGAGTGGGCCTTCATCCAGTGCCCTGGTGAGAACCACCCACGTTCAGACAATCACATGCACACTTGTCCTTTAAAGAGCAAATTTGTTACACCAGGGTTTTTTTAAACTGCTGGCCAGGAACCCCCTGGGGGCACAAAGAGGTGCAAGGTGATCTGAAAAAAAAACTGATGGGAAAATATTGTATTTTAAGGGCTTTAATAGTTAACATATATATTTAAGAAATTAATTAATTATATTTATTGTGACAGTAAATAAGTGATAAATTTACTGTTTTAAGACTGATCAGAAGTAGTGAGAATAATTGTGATAATTTTATTGACAGCCGTAGTTTTTAACAGTAATAAAAACAAACATATATACACACACACACACACATATATATATATATATATATAGTTTTTTTGGTATAAACTACTATTCAAAAGTTTGAGATTTTTTTAAAAGAAATTATTACTTTTATACAGTAAGGATGATTCCAATTGATCAAAAGTTACTGTTATATTTTGTTGTCTTTACAGTATCACTCTTAATATTTTTCCACAATAAAGATGGGATTTTAAATATGAAAATATATAGCTGGTTTCATGTTTTAGGAAAGGGATCCCTCACTAGGGGATCATTGTATTGTATGTGGGTTTTTGGCATCAAAAGTTTGAATGTCCTTTAGTTTTCAATTCTTTAGTTTATATAACACTGTGAGTCATCTCTGACATCAAAGTTTGTAAAATAAAAAAAAAAGAAGAAAATTCCAAACTGACAATCAACTTTTATTTCCCAGCATGCCAGTGCAATGGCCACAGCACATGTGTGAACGTCAGTGTGTGCGAGCAGTGTCGTAACCTCACCACCGGCCTTCACTGCGAAACATGCTTGTCTGGATACCATGGAGACCCAACCAATGGTGGAAAGTGCCAAGGTGAGAATATTTGCACCTGCTACTAACAGAGCATTTTGATATACCATTTGGCTTAGTAATGGAGAAAAGAGCACACTGGGAAATGAGTGTTGGAAGAAAATTCCAAACTGACAATCAACTTTTATTTCCCAGCATGCCAGTGCAATGGCCACAGCACATGTGTGAACGTCAGTGTGTGCGAGCAGTGTCGTAACCTCACCACCGGCCTTCACTGCGAAACATGCTTGTCTGGATACCATGGAGACCCAACCAATGGCGGAAAGTGCCAAGGTGAGAATATTTGCACCTGCTACTAACAGAGCATTTTGATATACCATTTGGCTTAGTAATGGAGAAAAGAGCACACTGGGAAATGAGTGTTGAGGTCATAGAGGTGGTTGTGCTGCCAGAGGCGAGGGGTAAGATCACACATAGACATGCACTCACATTTTTTCTCTTTTGCCCTGGAGAATGTCAGTTTACAGCACTGGCCTATGATTCCAGGTGAAACAGGATATGTTGTCATAGACCATTATGTTCACAGATATGGGAGAACTCCCCCACCAGGAGTTTAAAACTAAGAGCTAGTGATCACAAAATATGTGTTATTTTAAACATTATAAAAGTGCGGTCCTAAGAGGTCTTATGTTTTATTTACAACATATTTTTGTATGTAAATGGATTTGTTCCTCAATGTTTTTGTGAAATTTTGCCCAAGGCCACTTCTACTTTAATACTTGATGACACATCAGTTCTGAAACTGCTCCCTGCAAACATTAGACACTATCATATTTCCCATATTCTTGAGAAATATTATATTCATATTCCTTCTTAAAAGCGGACCAGCTCACAAAAGACGTTCATATGCACATCAGCATAGACCTTTGATATACGACCTACAGGATGCTGGGATTTAGAGACAGCATAGTCTCTGTCATGCATGTTTAGTACAGTGGACAAAAGCCTGTCAGAGCCCAATGATCTGGAGTCATGTTAGTGCAGCGTGAAGAGCTTGTGTAGAATTGAAGCTTATTTTAGAAATAATTATAGTCCACTGCTCAAAAAAGGAAAATGGATTTCAGTACAGATAAAAGACTGTGGCACTTAAAGCAGGTGTTTTTGTCCATAGCAAAAATCTTCTGAACGCAATTTAACCTGTTTTGCAGAGTTTCAGAACTGGTGATCTTGAAGTGAGTCATGTAATAAGAAATAAAATTTTCCTCATGCTTTGAAATAAGAGTTAATTGAAACTCTTATTTCAAAACTTTCTCCCAAGTCCAAAAAGACCAATTTCATCCAAAATTTCATCCAGATTCTACAAATACACTAACACAACAACTCCCACATCAATGCCAGTAATGCCAATATGGAGTTCAGCAACATGGTCTGCTCAGCCATAGTGATGTTTCATATGACCACTTTACTCATTAAAAATATATGTTTGTATAGACGGTATTATTCACAAGTTCAGGGCCAGTATGAGAAATGTTTATAAAAGTGTCTTTTAAATGTATTGTAAGATGTTTTAATGTTTTTGAAAGAAGTCTTCTTTCAAAAACATTAAAAGATCTCACTGACCCTAAACTTTTGAACAGTAGTCTATAACATAAAACATATGCAAAAATATATATTTTATATAATATATACAAATATATATTTGCAAGTAAATTTATGAAATTTAATTTAAATGTGTAAATCTGTTATTTAAATAAATCTATTTCAAACTATTGTTATTTTATTTTTAAATTTTGTAATATGTCGTACTAAATTCAGATGTTTTAGTTTCTGCTCTGCCAGGAGTATGTAATAGTTTTATTTTCGAGTGCACATAGAATGAAGAGAATTTACCGTTATGTTTGGTTATTGACATCTGTGGTTAAGGTTTGTAATTTATTATTTTGATTTCCATTAATGTTGCCTAGGGACCGTAATGTGATATTCTTATTTCATCTAATGCAGCAAAACTCACTTCTCTGTGAAGAAAATCTGAGAACAGAAAGGGACCACCTATGGCTATGAGCTAATCTCACTGTTTTTGTCAGCCTGTTTGACCTGAAGTATAGATCCAACTGATATACTGAAAACTGAAGAGACTGAATTGAATTTGAATGTTTGAGTCAATTAAGTCGTTTGTATTTGTATTTATTTGTAGATAAAGAGCTCATTCCTTATTGAAATCTACATATTTTCTTTAAATTGCAGTATGTGCAGTTTTCATTAATTAAATATTTAAGCTACTGTGTTCGTAGATCAGTCTACTTCTCTGTGTTTCTGTTCTCACACACCCCCATTTTTGTCCGGTTCCCCCACACTTTTTTGTTTTTCAGCCTGTAAATGTAATGGCCATGCCAACGTATGCCAGGTGCTGACGGGCAAATGCTTCTGCACCACCAAGGGTATCAAAGGCGACCAATGCCAGCTGTAAGTACCTCTACTGCATACAAACATTTAATTATCTTAAGGACATACCAAGACTTTTATTTTAAAACATTTTAAATAAATATAATTTTTTTAATAGAATAAATACTTAAGAAAAACATTAATATACTTATTCAATAAATAATATTATAATTTTTTATTGCAATTTATTTATTTATTTCAACCCCAATTGACATTGTCCCTGAATCTTTCCAAAGTATAGTTAATACCTACACACCCCATTAATCGTTAAGCCTCCTGCATTCCATTTAGCTTGACTCTGTGTCCTCACAATTTTGCCTAAAGCTGACCTGCAGACGCAGCATATTTTGTCTGCGTGTGTGCACACACTTTAATAGCACTAATGGAGGTGGAAGTGAGGTGTGGGAGTGTGCTGGCATGTGTTTGTGACTATTAGAGAGACCATTCCTCTGAGAATAATGAGTCAAGTGTTTCACTCACTGCATTGTTATATGTGCATGCAGAAATTCTAAAGAGTGGGTTGACCAGTCATGCTTATTTAGGAGATGTGGGTGCGAACTGAATTTCCCACTCAGATACTTCAGTCATAGAAACAGAAGCTGGTGAGCAGCTTGAAATCTGGGCTGCTATGTTGCATTCAGAGCCACAGCAGAGGATGGTAGCTCCTTTGTTGTGCTCTTTTAAGAGCAAATGCTTTGTTATAGACTGACGTGTAACTCTGGGATATGAAGTGTTTTATGACAGGAAACAGGAAACTGTCCTTTGTCCCTGCAGGTCTCTTTTCACATTGTATTTTTTGGCACCACAGTGCATTTTCATCATAAACATAGCGACAGCTGTACACCGTAGTAAGGTAATGACTCAGGAGGAGAAGGCATCATAGAAAGCATTGTGCACTTAATTTTTTACTTTGCTTTACTAGTACCATTGTTAATACCGTAACTGATTGACGTTCGGTTCCATTCGGTTTCCATTAATGTTTCTTGCTAAATGTTTCTTCCATGCAAAAATACTCTGGCAGTATATTGTGCACTGCAACATTACAATTAAATCTACTACGCAAAAACATATGCAATATGTCCAGTATAGTTCAATTTCCAAAAAATTGATTCTTATAAACAGGTTCTTTTTAGTGAATTAAAAGCATAGTGACAAGTGTAGTCCGATTTCTGAACAAGTGACTCTTATGAGCTCATTATTTACTGAATCAAAAACATTGAGTGTGACCAGAGTAGTCCAATTACAGAAAAGGGTAGTTGACTCTTGTGAGCTCAGTCTTATTAGTGAATCAGAAACATTATTATCAAGATTATTAACAAGATTATCTCCAGTGTTTAATTCCTGAACAATTGACACTTATGAGTGAGTAGTTCTTTTTAGTGAATCAAAAGAGTTTGACTAATGTAGTTCAATTCCTGAACTAGTGACTCTTATGAGTTGGATCTTTTTCGTAAATCAAAAACATAGAAAATGACCAGTGTAGTTTTGAATCCTGAACAAGTGACTCTTATGAGTTGGCTCTTTTTAGTGAATCATAAACATAGAGTGTGACCAGTGTATCCAGATTCCTGGGTGAGTGACTCTTATTAGGTAATAGTTATTTTTAGTGAATCAAACACGTAGTGTGTGACTAGTGTAGTCCAATTCCTAAAAAAAGCAGCTCTTATGAGTTGGTTCTTTTTAGTAAATCAAAAACATAGTGTGTGACCAGTGTAGAGTAATTCCCGAACAAGTGATGATTTCTCTCTCTCGTGTGCATGCTGGTAGATGCTTGTTTTTAATTGTGCGTAACCCAGTCAGGCCAAGCCAGGTCCATTGATGATGTATTCAAGCGTGTCTTCATCACAAGGACAAATGAGTGCACAGGCAGCAGTTGAGACGGCCGTTACCGCTTCCTGTTTATTCCTCTCCTTCCCACTCTGTTCTCTCTCTCCTTCATTACTCAGAGCGGACAGATGCCATTGCCCATCCTACATAACGAGGTCCATAATGAAGCACCAGGACCATTTTTGTCACGCACAAATACTATCACACTCAAAATGGTTGATTAAAGACCTGATGTGCTGCAGTGATCGCTCGCTGACCCCCTTTTAGTGAGCTGACAGTGAAAGAGCATAGTCCAATTCCTTAAAAAAGCAGCTCTTATGAGTTGGTTCTTTTTAGTAAATCAGAAACATAGTGTGTGACCAGTGTAGAGTAATTCCCGAACAAGTGATGATTTCTCTCTCTCGTGTGCATGCTGGTAGATGCTTGTTTTTAATTGTGCGTAACCCAATCAGGCCAAGCCAGGTCCATTGATGATGTATTCAAGCGTGTCTTCATCACAAGGACAAATGAGTGCACAGGCAGCAGTTGAGACGGCCGTTACCGCTTCCTGTTTATTCCTCTCCTTCCCACTCTGTTCTCTCTCTCCTTCATTACTCAGAGCGGACAGATGCCATTGCCCATCCTACATAACGAGGTCCATAATGAAGCACCAGGACCATTTTTGTCACGCACAAATACTATCACACTCAAAATGGTTGATTAAAGACCTGATGTGCTGCAGTGATCGCTCGCTGACCCCCTTTTAGTGAGCTGACAGTGAAAGAGCAATTCAAAGTTTTTTTTCACAGTCCTGAGCGGGACTTTAGAGCATAGAGAACACGTCACTCTCCTTTACGATCAGACAGCAGCTCACCAAGAGATATTTGAAAAGATACACATGATTAAAGAAAGAAAATTGATACAATTTGAAGCAAAAGCATGCTTGATTACTGTAGAGTCTATCATCATCATGATGGAGTGTCATGGAGTGTGTTGTGTGTGTTGCGGCACTCCAGGTGTGACCCAAATGGGGATCAAATTATGGCACTACAGAGAGAGAGTGCATTAAAGCATGCACAGCATGTCTGTGCGCTCTCACTGGAGATTAAATTAAGATACTGAGAGTAAGAGTGCATTATGTTTACTCCGAGACAGCATAGAGTACATTGTGTGTACATTGTGTGTATGTGGCATGAACGCTGGAAACCTCTCCTTCTGATTTGCAGTGTATGGGTGAGAGAGAATAGTCATTTCTGAAATGTCATCCAGATTAAAGGCTAGGGGACTGATATGTAGAGGTTTTAAAATGCCTGTGGTGCAGTTTGTCCTGTGTCCTCTATACTGTGGTAAAAGTGTACTCTACCTTGTCCTCTCATATTTATCACCAACTCTCAGAAAAAAATATGAATGCTTCGGATCCCTGCAAGCTAAGGGCAAAGATATTTACAGTATGAGATGGAGGTCTCTGTATGTTTGACTGTAATAATGGTGTACTTTAGAAGGTGTACTTAAAAGGTAAACGTGTTTTTGTTGGGGGGGTTTTCCCATTGTTTTATTATCACATGGCTGGGAGTCGATCCAGATTACCCGATTTAATTTGTTTCACCAATCAAAATTGCTCCCAAATAAATAAACTGCTAAATAAGTGGGTCATAAGTATGGAAGCCCATTTCAGCCATGTAAGAAAAAAAAATCATGCTTTGGTAAATCATAATTATAAATATTTTTTATATTTATGACATAAAAGTCAAAATTATGGCATACTAAGTCATACTAATTATGTGATATAAAAAATTGAATTAAAATAAAAACAAAAACACAACTGACATAAATTGATATTATATAAGATAAAACGTTATGAAAAAAATTTAAATGATGACAAAAATTACTTTTATAATTATGAGATAAAAAGTTGCAGTTATGATATGCTAAGTCATAATTATAAGGGAAAAAGTAATTAACAACTGTCATAATCATGGCTTTTAATGTGGTAATTATGACACTTTTTAATGTGCTTAAATTGGACTTTTTATCATAATTATGATTTACCAAAGCACTTGGTAAAAAGCACAAAACTCAAAATGAACTAAGAGTTACAGGATTTGTTTGTGAATCAGATTGTTTGATTTTGCATGTAACTTGTGAGGAAAATAGAAAACGCATTTTGTGCATATTTTATTGCATCACATACAATACAAACCCTAAAGCCACATTTGGCTGGACTGCACAATTGTAATTCATTTGCATAATTACATAAAGTATTTTTCTGGCTGTAATGCATGCGAACTAGGAGCACTGTGTTAGATTAGCTCCAAAGTAACTAGAACAGAGCCCGGCATTCTGCATTAACTAAAACATAGTTTAATTTACTTGTTAAAAGCAGCTTTAATGATTAATTGCATTTGCACTTCAGATACGTTTACAGGACAATGGTGTGGATTGAAAGTGAATTGCCTCTGTAGAAACTAAGTGGCGAAATTGTTGTGGGGAGAGGGAGTGAGCGAGTTGTGCGCTCAAATGAATGCAGACTCTAATTGGACCGTCAGTTCCTGGCTCAGAAGACCAACAGGATGTGTAAGCTGCTTAGGCTGGTGGAGAGCTGGGCCGACAGCGTTGTGTTAATTGTTTAGCGTGTTTGAGATTGAGGTAGAGGAAGCTTTGGGCTGTCTCCTGGCGCTCTCTAATGAAGCTGAGGAAATAAAAGACCCCGACAACAGAGTGGAATTACATAATCTGCCTTAGTATGGAAAGGGACAAAGATACAGCAGGCACCACACAAATTCAACACACTTACACAACAATATTCTGCGTGCACAGCGCACACATAGAGAGCCACATCTGACAAAGTGTGACCCCGAATGGAGCTCTCTTTCACGCCGCCTTGTGCTTGAATGAGCAAATACACCTTGCCGATTTGAACATTCAAAAGATTTTAAAGCATTCAAGCACAAGAAGACGTGAATAACAACTCCATTCAGTGTGTTTTGTGCACGCAGACATCAGGCAACGCGCGAGTCCTGAATTTAGTTTTTTTCCACGTCTTATTGCGCTTGAACAGACAAATACATACAAAAGTATGTGAAAATACCCGTCTTAGCGAGTATCCTCAAAAACAGTCGGTTATGTCTTAAGTGAACTTAAAAAAATGAGAATTGGATGTATATTATATTGGATTCATGCATTGTCTCTTAAAGTGACCGTGCCTCATTTACCAG